TTGGCACAATCTCAGAGCCAGGGAGTTGTGAGCTTGGAAGAAAATGAAAGGAATTCCCCGGAAGGAGCAGTTCCTGACCTGGTGCTGCTCCTGATGTGCCTGCTGTACAACTGGAAGGGGAAAACTGCCAGCAGATAAAGCCTGGAGGTGGTGGAGAACCCACCCTGGGAAGCTGGAAGGGCTGCACCTGCACCAGAACCGGGCAGAAGGTCCAGCTCCACTCAGCCCTCGCTGCTTCAACCTCCGTCCTTTGCTTTACCCTTTTGAAATAGGAAGAGATGGAGATTTTCTGAGGGCTGTGTTTGGGGTTTCCCCTTGGATTTGCCTGTTTTCCTGCCTGTGTTTGAAGTGGTCAATGATCCTGGAGGGTGACTACCATAAAAAATCAAAGTCCTTATGTTTTTTTTCCATTAGGCAGCCAAGAACTGATTCAGCTGTGACATGCTTTTACTTTAAGTTGGTCATCAAACCCTGATAAATGTTATTGATATAATATCAAATAATAAGCACTGATATATATATATATATAAACTTAAATTATTTTCTTCCACTATGTATTTTCATACTGTTCACTGAAAGTCAAGTTGGTGGATATAGAGAGAAGATTCCTGTTAGTTACTTCCTGGTTTTGAGAGGGATCAGTCCAAAAATCTTCTATTAAATACTTATTTATATAAAATTGCTTTAAATCCATTTTAAAGATACATCTTTGGTGAATTTCAAAGAAATGTGCTCCAGGTTTTTGTTTTAAAGGATGATGAATTTAAAGTCAGATCCTACACAGAAATATGAGGCAGGTGGGCTCTGGCAAATCAAATTTCCTTGGATTCCAGTGTGCTGTGTATTTGTCAAATACAAAACATTTAGAAGCCCTGTGGTGATATTTTTAAAGATAAACAGTAATTAATTGTGCTGAGAAATTGAACCTTCTCTCACCCTTACTGTGTCTTTGTGAGTACTTTACAGTGCAGGGTAAATATTATTACTGCAAACATCAGAAATCCTCTGGAATTCCTAAAGATGTCTAATGTATGAGCACAGCATGTGCAGTTTTAAAGAAATACAGGAAAGATGGAGGTAGATGGAGGGTACAGGGTTTAAACTGAGTTTTGGGAAGATGTGTTGATTGGAATCTCTAATCCTGGCACTGTAGGAATGGCTTCAGCATGGATTCCATGGGGTTTGGAAGTACCTGCTGAGAAGCTGGGGCTCCAGGCCGAGGTGTGTGTCTCAAATCCAAACATGACTTGGCTAATGGTAAAAATGGTGGTGGTTTTGGTCAAAAATGGCTTTATTAAATCACTTAATTTAATTAAATGAGTTGATTTTTACATTCTTGCACCTTCAGAACAAGCAGCTGCTCAACCCTTAAATAGGGGATGAAATATTTTTGTGTACTTTTGCTGTCTTGGCTGATTTGCTCCAGCTCATACAAACCAGTAGGAATTCCTGTGTTTAAGAGCAATCCCACATTTTGAAGCCTCTGAACATCCACTTGCTTTGTAGCCGCTGGATTTTGTTCCTTCCTGGCAGTGGAATCGAGTGGAAGAGATCGAGATCACAACATGGATCTCTGAGATCTGTGGGATCACAACATGGATCTCTGAGATCTCTGGGATCACAACATTGGCTCAGGTCCATGCAGGGGGGATTTCCAAGGAGAAAGCCAGGAGGTTTCAGTCCAGGCCATGCTCCATGCTCTGCTGGGATCCATGGAGTGCAGGATGGAACAGCTGGATCAGGGAGGCTTGGATTTGTCTTCACTTTACACCACGCTTCCTGCTGACACTTTAGAGAAGGAAAAGGTAATATTTGGATAACACTGCTCTGAATGCTACTTGTTCCTTTCTTTTCCAGCAAGAAAGATGCTTCAGGACTCATGCAATGGATTCTGAAGGTCACCAGTGCACTTCCACAGAGAGACCATGACACTGCTTCCAGTGGGTGCCACATACAGGAGGCCCTTGAAGTGGGTTTTTGTGTTTCTCCTGGTGTTTTCCATGGTAACAATATTGTACATAACCTTTCCTTCCAACACCGTGCTTGAGAAGGTGAACCTGATGTATTTCTACGAGTATGAACCCGTTTACAAGCAGAACTACCTGTTCACGCTGCGGGAGCGCTGGGAGTGCCGGGACATCCACCCATTCCTGGTCATCCTGGTGTCTTCCCGCCCGAAGGAGGTGAAGGCCAGGCAGGCCATCAGGATAACGTGGGGCTCTCGGAGCTCCTGGTGGGGCCACCGAGTCCTGACCCTGTTCTTGCTGGGGCAGGACACCCAGAGGGGAGACAACGCGGCAGAGCTGTCGGTGGAGGACGAGAGCATCCTCTATGGAGACATCATCCGGCAGGATTTCCTGGACACCTATGACAACCTCACCCTGAAGACCATCATGGGGTTCCAGTGGGTCTCCGAGTTCTGCCCCAGCACCAGGTTCCTCATGAAGACTGACAGTGATGTCTTCATCAACACCCCCAACCTGGTGAAGTTCCTGCTGCAGCAGAATTCCTCGGAGAACCTTTTCACTGGTTACCCCCTCATCAACAACTTTGCCTACAGGGGCTCTGAGAAAACCAGATCCATCTCCTACCAGGAATATCCCTTCAGGCTGTACCCTCCCTACTGTGGTGGGATGGGCTATGTCCTGGATGGAAAGCTGGCCCTGAGGATTTATGAGCTGATGAGCCACGTCAAACCTGTGAAATTTGAGGATGTTTACGTTGGAATTTGCTTAAATATTCTTAAAGTCAACGTCAGTGTTCCAGAAGATGCAGAACAGTTCTTCCTGTATAAAGTTAATTTTGATGTCTGTAAGTACAGGCACCTGATTGCAGTTCATGGCCTTACACCAAGTGAACTCATCCAGTTTTGGCAGGATTTGTCATCCAGCAGTTCCGTGACTTGCCTTTGATTCTGGATTAACACACAAACTTAAAAAACTGTTTGGTGTAAAAACAACATTTAAAGGGCAGGGAAATGCAAACCAAAAGCAGTTCTAGAGATGCCTTTGACAACACTGCAGTGGCAGCATTTCCCTGGAACACCCCAGTAGTCTTAAATAAAAATACCAGGAATTCACAAAGCACTTTTCCACGTGGGTATCCCACACACTCAGGGTACTTTGGAATGCTCAGGGTACTTTGGAATGCTCTGTCCCATCTGCCTCTGACACCTCCCCACATGGTCAGCTGCAGGGATTTCTGCCTGAATTTTCTGGAATGGATGAAAAGGAATAATGTTTATGCCAAGAAACCAGCTTTGAGGACGCTTCCCAAATTCCTGCCTAGATTGTTTTTATGGTTTTATGGCCACTCTCCATTATTTGTTCTCTGCCCAGTGTGAAGCAAAACAACCTTCTTTCTGTGTCTCACCTCTGTGACCCTTCTGAGAGTGTCACACCTGGGTGTTTAAATGTATCACCTCTGTAAGGCTTCCGAGAACATTCCAAGCCTGTGGGATCTGCAGGAGCTGATGGGAAATTCTGGGAAAGTGGGGCACTTTTTGTGTGTGTCTCTGCAGACATAAAATAGAATGGCTTTGGTGTCTTTGACAGTGTTCCCAGACTCCTGGAGGGCAGGTGGAGTTCACTGGTTATGAGACATCCCAAAACCACTGGGATAATCCACCCCCATATATAAACATCTCTCTGTGTGTACTGATGCATCCCAAGAGCTTTGGAAGCCACAGGGAAGATAAAAGCAGAATAATTTCTCCTGTGATTTATGTCTGCTTTTCTCAGTTAGTTTCCTTCCCCCACATTTTAAAACGTGAAAAAGGAAGAACCCCCCGATATTTATATTTAAAGAAGACAAACTCTGCCCTGTGTGTAAAGACCAGTTTTTAATCACTTTATTCATATCAGCAAGGCCCAGTTTTCAGTAGTTTACACTTCTAAGAGACAACAATACAGAATTTTGCAATTGCATGAACATAATTAATCTGGACACATCCACTACACGGGGAGGAGACTACGGTGACATCCTGTCCATGGAGCAGCTCCTGTTCCCAGGGATTTTGCCTGGCAGAATTCCACAGTGTCTCCTAGAGACAAACCACAAGAGGTGCAGAAACCTCCAGGACCACGGGGGGGAGGTTTCAGCAGTGCCTTCGTTCCCTTGTGGTCAGGATTGAGTTTGGCTCTTTTCCAACGGCTGCACGTGGGGTTCGGGTGGGATCGGAGGACGGGTTATTTTTTTAGGTATAAAAGTGAGGGTTTGGGGACAACACTCTCTAGACAAGATGTCAGTGTTCTAAGGATGGATGGTAAATTTTTAAAAAATAAGAGGGTTTTTTTTTTTTGTTAAATAGCTGAAGATACAGAATTGGGTGACTGAGGGAAGGATGCTCTTGTATTTCCAGAAACAGGTACAACTACAGCTGTGCCACGGGTTTAGGATCTGGGATTTGATTGTTCTCTGGGCAGATCCTGAGAGCTCTGTGAGAAATATTTGCCTCGTTCTGTGATTGTTCTTACATCTCAGAACCCAAACCCCTCTGTTTTTTAGAAGCCTGCCACGGTATGTGTTCAGAAATAAATTATTTGCCACAAGAACACTGATACTACAGCACAGTTTTTATTGCTTCCCCCCCCCCCAAAAAAAATGTAATTATGACTCTGCAGGCTTCAGAAAATAGATAAAGCAGAGAGTGGTCCTGGTGAGGGAGAAAGGAGGGTCACAGAGGACCAGAAACACACCCATCACCTGCCAGTATTTGGGGTTTCTGTGCCCCAAGTGCTGACACTGCTCAACAAACAAAGGTTTGTACACAGTGATCAGTTTGAAATTAATTGTCATCTACAGTGACAGCAACTCTGCAACAAATCCCACTGGAAAATGAGTCCTGGTTTTCTGAAAAACCCCTCCTTTCCAAATCTGATTTGTGTTTGAGTCTGACCTTATTATTGCTTAAAAGGCTGGAAAATTCCTAACTGTAAAATTCCTAACTAAGCTCCTGTTTCTGCTTAAAGCCATGATTAGGGAAGTTTTTAGCATGAGCAGCCATGCAAGAGGTGAAAAACCTTCAGACCATGAGCTAATCTAAGAATTGAAGTCAGAGGTGGGCCCAAATTTTATTGTATCTGCCTAAAATATTGTATTAAAAATGCCTAAAATTTTTCCAGATCCTAAGGGTTGTTTTTCTTTTCTCATGCAGTAAGTGGTCTAAAAGCTGTAGTAAATCAGAATTCCAAGTACTTGTGATTTTATAGGAAAATTGGGGTTTCTGACTTGAAAAGCCTAATGGTAATAATCCATTGGGCAAAGATGTTTGGGAATTGCTGCTGGATGGGGAGCAAAGGGGGGTTCTGATGTGGAATTCCCTGCCTGGATGTTACTCCAGAGGAGTTAAAATGCTGAAATGCTTTGTGTGCATTTGGAACAAACAAATTCCAGATAAACCAGGCAGGGGCAGCATTCCCTGTGATCAGTATTCCCAGGACATTTGGCATATTTTCCTAAGTTTTGCCTTATGTTTCCCAGTCCCTGCTAAAGCATTTCAATGCAAGTAACTCACAGATGCCTGGATGCACAGCAAACAATGGAATTTTATCAGGTTTCTGTCAAATTTAAACTAAAACCTGAGGGAAGGATGTGCCACTGAGTTCCTGATCCGGCTCCATCTGTTTCCTTAGGGATGCTGAAGGAGTGTGGAGCTCCATATTTCCCAAATTTCCCTTTGTGTCCAAGCAGCCTGTTCCACTCTGGTCCACTTCTGAAGTGTTGACAGTTTGCCCAAGGCAGAGGTGGCAGGGACATGGATCCCAAGTTTTGGCAGGACAGGGATCTCATTCCTGCCTGGGAGGGTGGGGAGGCCCTGGCACAGGTTGCCCAGAGAAGCTGTGGCTGCCCCTGGATCCCTGGGAGTGTCCAAGGCCAGGTTGGACAACCTGGGACAGTGGAAGGTGTCCCTGCCCATGGCAGGGGTGGAACTGGATGGGCTTTAAGGTCCTTTCCAGCCCCAACCATTCCATGATCCAGGGATTTAATTAGAAACACAATATGGTTCTCTGTTTCAAGTATAAACCCATAAAATAATACCTTATACAGCCAGGTAGGAATTGTTCTGTGTTGGACATTAAGCTTCAATCTTACAGGTTCAAAGTAATTTCTATATATCTCTAAGAACCTGATGTTTCTTTTAATCTATTTTAAAAGAGGGAGTTCTTTTAATTTTCGGGAAGAAAACCCCACATTATGTTGAGATGATTAAAGAATTATGAGGCCTTGGATTTTCAGGATGGTTATTTTTAGGTTCAGACTTTGCAGAACTGATTTTTGAGGAAGAATTTTGTTCACTGGGAGAAGGAGCAGGTGCAGCTCATTGCAGGAAACACCAGCACTGAGGGATTTGGGAATTGGTGCCTGGATGGTGTGTTGGCTGTTTGGTCCCACACACTTCGAAAGACATTTGAGGAAAAGGAGGTGGGTGCTTTAAAAATCCACATTTTGAAAGCTGTTGGGAGCATTCACAGGCACTTAGCCCAGCAATTTGCCAAAATTGTGTATTTTGGAGATTATAACAGCATTTTCCCCAACCTGTGGAGCTTCTGCTAAAAGAAGTTACGTGGCTATTTAAACACTTCATAACCTAGAGAGGAGTGAAGGACAAACTGTTGTCTCAAGAATTGCTCCTAAGCCTCTTATTTATGGTTCTAGAAAGGCTTCAGCTGCATCCATTTGCTTACCAGAGCACCCAGACCATCCTGGAGAACTGGAGACACCTGGAACTTTTGAGTTACCTAAGGGAAAACTCTGAAACAGCTGCTTCCCTAAACCTTGTCTGGTCAGCACCACAGAAATAAAACTCATTAAACTTCAACTCAGTAGTAACTCTGTAGATCTTTTTTTTTTTTTTTTCTTTTGCTGAGTCCTCAGGTTTAGAAAGGTCATTTATGAATATATGGAGCACAGCAAGGGGCAGCAGCTCCAGGCTCTGCAGTTGCCAAATTCCAGCAGAACATTCTCAATTGTAAACTTGGAATTTTGTACAGAGGCCTAAAAACCTACTTTGGGAAATGAAAGGCTGGTAAGTTTTTTTGTTTTTTTTCTGTAGTATAATCACTCACTAAATGTTTCTCTGTGTAAAACAAGTATCAGCTACATTAGCAATATATCCATATTATTTAAAGCAGGGCTGTCCTGTATCCTGAGAGGCAGCTGGACACAAAATCCCTTATTTTCAGGCTGTGGCATTGGTGTTTCTGCAGCAAACACTGTTCAGGCTGGTGCAGCACTTCAGCTCTAACTCCTGGATTCGAAAACCTTCCCAATATTTTACTTTTACCTCTGTAAATGGTTTAACTGTGTAAGAACAGCAGCAGCACCCACAGTCAGTGGACAGTCCATGATGCTGGATGGCATTTGCCTTATTTATATTTGTATTAATCTAGACAATCTCTCACTAAAACTGGCTCATTCGTGTCGAATTGGGTATTTTTAGACATTCTAGGAGTACAGGTGGTGCCACCATCACAGTGCCACCCGTGCCACCCCTCCCTGTGGGATGAGATCCCTGTGCCTGGTGCTGGATGGTGCAACAGAAGGAGTGGGATCGGTTTGGTGTGAAATAAAACGGTGTCTCCTGCCAGCCCTGAGGTGAGCAACGAATTCCTGACTCCAGCTCGGGAGACAAGGGACAGGGGGGAGTTTAAATGCCTCCCCTTTGCCACACGGGCTGAGAGAGCCGCTGTGGAATTGGAGGGAATGCTGCGGAGTTCCCATTCCCAGGGCAGGCTCAGGCCACTAGAAGGAGCCACAGTGCCACCAACCCCAACCCTGGAGGGACAAGCAGGGAAAGTCCCAGCCCTTCCAGGAATTCTAGGAAGGATCAGCCTGTCTGAACCCCTCCCAGTGTATAATCAGAGTGGTGAACTCCATGGCAATCCATGATCCCAATCCTGATCACTGAACATTAAAATGTCCCACGTGAGTTAATGGGGAGCTTGTGACATCCCTGGGAACAGCCCCAATTCCTTAAGCACAGGACCAGCTGAACTAATGAACAAGGTACATTTTGTCACACTGGACCACAGGGAAGATGCTCTGGCAGCAACTCAATCCCTCAGTTCTGTGCCACGGGAGGCTCTTCCCAAGGGAACAGATGTCACCAGCGGAGCCACTCGGGCTCGGGCTACAAAAAACTTCCATGGCAAGAGGAGCTCCCAGCTGTGTTCTGGCCACTGCCACCAAAAGGCAGCTCTTTTTTTTGGAGAGCTGCCCAGGCAGGAGAGCAGCAGGGAGGAACCCCTTCTGCCACGGTGGATATTTCTGGCTACAGCACCTGGCAACCCTTCCCAGCTGGAGGATGGAGCGTTAAGGCAGTGGGAGAACCCTGGATTGTTCAGGTTGCATCAGCAAAAGGTACATTACTCAACCTTGTCGTCCCACAGCTGTGTCACGACAGAATTTGGCACAAATCAGCAAAGTTCTACATGTCTGGGTTTGGATGAAAAGCTTTGCAGGCTGGCAGCAGGGAGCACAGGCAGGCACTGAGCACGGAGGTGGAAGAGCACACACAGCCTCTCACCTCCTTCAGGCCTTCAGCTTCACACCTAAAGCAGCTGAAACTCGTTTTTTAAGGTAATAAAAGCCAAAATCACCAGCTCAACAGAGATGATGGGCCTGGATGGCCAGGACAGTGCAGAGGGAGGGGGAGAGGAGGCTGCAGAGGAAGCTGAAGGTGCTCCAGCAGCTCTTGCTGCAGCTGCAGACACTTGAAGGCTGGAGCAGGGCTGATTGGTGCCTGCCTGGAGGGGCTGGGAGTGACAGAGGGAATGATCCTGGAATAAACATCCAGGCAAACCCCTTCTGTACTGCACTGCACTGTTTTCCTAAATCCTGTGAGCAGGGCTTGCTTCCAGAGTGCTCCCACTGCTCCTCATGGCTGGGAATTCCTGCCACCTTCTCTTCCTGTCTGTCACAAGTGCTGGAGCACAGCCAGTGAGCCAAGCTCTGGAGAAGGTCATGGATCCCTCAGGGATGCTCAGGAAAAGGTCACAGATCCCTCAGGGATTCTCACTCACCTTGGGAGTGGGAGCTGCAGGAGGCTCAGTGCAGCCAGCAGCTTTCACTCCAGTGCTTTTAATCTACTATGTTTTTTTGGGAGCTGACCATCATTCCAGTTCCAACTCCCCCAGTTCCCGTGAAGGTGATGCCTCTGCTACACAAACATCCCTCTCCTTTGGAGCTGCTGGGTCAGATTCTCCTTCTCCCTGGGCAGCTCCCCAGGCTGTGTCCTCCAAAGGAGAGCTGGTGCAATGGAATATCTCCTGTGAAGGACACAGGAAAGGCTCTGCCTGGAGCTCTGACACTGCTGCTGTGCCATTCCTGGCTCCAGGACTGAGCACTCCCAGGGAAATACCACACAAGGTTTGCATTTCCCAGCCTTCTGACCTCAAACACCTTCTCAAAGTAAAACAACTGAAGGGCTCTGCAGTTTTTAACGTTTCCTGGGAGCTGCTCAATTGAGCTGCCAAGCTGCATTGCCAAGTCACTGCATGTACTGCTCAAGGGATTAAAAAAGTTGGGAGCCTCCCATCCTCCAGGGAAGGAGCAGTGCTGGACACTTCCCTCTCCTGCTTTTCACTTTTCAGAGTCAAAGGGCTCCACTTGGAGTCTGGGATGAGCAGAGGCTGCCAAGGGTCCCCTACATGTTTTGGACAGCACTGGTAAAGGCAACAGATCCAATTAAGAGCTGTGATTATCCCCAACAAATTAAAGGAAGGAGGTCCCTTGGGGAAGAGGTAACCTAGGAACAAAACTGAAAAGACTAAGATAGGAATTCCCTCTCAGGCAGGAATTTGTGCTCTTTGATTTTCTCCTTGAGAGACCCAGACCTGCTCAGCACCCAAGAACAGGCAATGCCAGTTAATGCAGCAGATCCCTGATTCCCCCCCAGACCCAAACACCAACAACCTCCAGCGCCCTGAACCTTGAGCAGATGGTCCAGGACCACGTTTTGCAGGGAGATTCCAAGGATTATTACAATTCTCCAGCCTGGTCCGTTCATCTCACACACCCTGTCCCTCAGCAGTTGTTACCACGTGCAGAACAAACTCACACTGTCCTCCTTCAAACTTACAGCAGCCACAGGTTCCAAAACACAATTAAATACTGAAAGTTAGATCTAAGCAGGCTTTTCTCTAGATTTAACACAAGCTTTCATCTCTACAGTGCAACGATGCTGCCTGGCATTTGTACATTATCCCAAAACACGGCTGTGCCCCAGGATTAACACCACGAATCCATCTGCAGTTGGCACCAGGAATAACCACGTGAGCAGCCCTGACTCAGGCAGCTCTGAGGAACCCCCTGCTCTGAGGAGTTTTCCAAAAGTCACTAATGAAATGAATTTTACCTTTCATTGCTTTCCAAGTCCAAGCCAACAAAATAAGGTCAGGGTGATCCTTGGTGGAGGACAAACACTCTGCTCTCACAGCTGAGCTGTTTTCTCACACAGAAGGTGTCAGACCTCAGAGTATTTTGCTGAAGTTTACCATGAGTTGGTTTGGATACAATATGGCCTAGAATTGTTATAGAGTAATGCACAGCCTGAATAAACATGTGGCTTCAGGTAATTCAGTATCTCTACCTACTCACATGCTTGGCAGGGATTTGTTGAAGGGGGGTGAGGTTAAATGAAGCGAGAGAGCCAAGAGTGTGGCAGCAGGGGGAGAGTTGGCTCCTCTTCCTCCTTCATATAAGAGGCCAATAATCACAAACCTTTTCCTATTCAGCCTTATCACTGTGGGTTAAAGGGATGAGGAACTTGAGCAGTCCCAGCTATGGGGGAAAAGCAGCAGCACTGCCCTGACCCTGCCGTGCACCTGGACCGACCTTGGAGACGGGAGGGGAGGAATCCAACGGGAAGTCTGCACAGGATTCGTAAAGAAAATGGTGCAATGGAAGGTTCCAGTCAGTTTTGGAGGAGCAGCAGCAAGGTCACCAGAGGCAGGGACACGTGGACAAACTGAATTCCTGTCATTGCTCAGCATGGATTTGTTGTATTGCTCCTGTTGTCAAGCACAGAACAAAGAGCAGAGGCGTCTGCTCCTCCCGCGGGGAATCGGAGCGGCTTTTACTCGAGCTTCCTACTGTGTTTGTGCTGAGTTCAGAGGGAGCCTCTGCTCACTGCTGCTCTTCTGCTTTGCTGCTACTCCTGAACTTCACCACCATGACTGTGATGTTGTCGGGGCACCCTCTGTAGAAGGACTGGAGGACGATGCTCTTGGCCCCGAAGTGCGGCTCGTCCAGGCGCTCCTTGATGAACCTCACGGCCTCCTCGTTGCTGAAGGCGTCCCACAGCCCGTCAGAGGCCAGGATCATGAACTCTGGCTGCAGTTTGTCCAGGTCAAAGCTGAGGATGTCGGGATCAGGGATCACAACGTTCAGGTTCTTCAGGGGGTAGTCTCCCAGGGAGCGGGACATGGCCAGGATCCCCTGCACGCGCCACGAGCCGTTGAAGCTGATGAAACCACCTGCAGAGAGACACCAGCACTTAGAGCAGCTCTTTGAAACCTTAAAAGCATTTCTCTGGTTCCTGCCAGACCCAGCCTAAACTCCATCCTGAGGGATACAGGGGTTACAGAGCTCAACGTGCAGGAGATGCCTTCAGCACATCTCGGAGTGCTGAGCCGGATTGCAAGAGCTGAAGCAGAGGAATCAGCAGTGGATCTGCCTTCAAACAAAGCAGCTCCCCCAGAGAGACCCCCAGCTCATGGGACAGCACAGGAATTCCTGTTCTACACAACTCAGTGCTCAGGAAAACTCCCGGTGATGCGCAGAGGAAAACAGCGAAACAAATCTTTCCATTCCTGTCTGTGAACACCTCTTCCTGTGTGGGTCACGTTTCCCATTCCACATCCCTGGAGGAGACAGCACTGAGAACACCCTGCAGTGGGACACACGGCTGCCTTCAAGGCACAAAGCAAAGAAACAAGTGCAAAAACATTTACAGGCTCTTCCCAATCTGGCTCTGTCAAACGGGACCAAAATTCTGTCGGGGACAAACCGATGGCAAAACTCGACTTCGAGTCAGGAAAATGCACCGTGGGCCCTGACTGGTTTTGCCATCACCAGGATTTAAGGATCTGGTTGAGTCTCTTTTCTTTAGGGCTGGCTTGGAGGGAGGTCTGTTCTGCACTGCACTTGCTGGCTCTGCCACAGCCACACCTGGCTGCTCCACGGTGCCAGTGAGCCAGGAATGGGAATCAGGCAGCACTCAAGGTCACCCAGGAGACTTGTGGCACCTCCAGTTCCTGTGCATCCATCTGCACACCAACAGCTGTTCCATCACAGTGTTCCTGTCATCCTAACGGGAAGGAGAAGTCACTCGAGGACAAACAATTTGCAAACATGGAACATTAAATGTAGGACAGGATTTTCTATCTGCAAACTGTCTGCTCTGGTGTTCTTACAAATGTCTTTGTTCTTTCTTCAGCCTGGGTGTTATTTGTCACCTGTCTCCTAAATCTTCTCATAGCATTCCCATTCCTGGCTGGCTGATCTTATCTGTAAATTCCTTCTGCTTTCAGGTGAAACTATTTCATTTAAGGATTCATTGTTGCCTAAAGCTTGAAACTTGATCTGTGTTAAAACCAGCAGAAACAAAGTTCTTTAACTGGGTGTTCTTCTGAACATTCCTCTGGAGCCTCCATGAGGAAGATGTTTCCTTCCATAGTCCAAAGAATTTGGGAGCATCCTCTTTGGATCCACAGCCATGCAAAGCTTACTCCACACTTACTCCAGGCTTTGCAGGTCCTATGTGGACAAAGAGACTTCTGGTGCCATTCTCAGGTGGCACCTGGAACTGCCCATGGCACAAGTGTTTTCCTCAAGTGTCTTTGGCACTTCCAATATTTTCTTTTGTAAAGGAATCCCAATCAAATCCATAGAAATGCTTGGGAAAAGCAAACACTGCAGTGCTGGCTGTGCCTGGAGAAAAAGGCATTAAAGGAACTGAGGCTTCTTGGCAACAGCACAAATGTTTTCCCTGTGAACAAGGGCTGAGCTCACAGGATTATGCTCAAGGTGAATAACTTGAATTTCTGTCAGTGGCAGTCACCTTGTGCTTCCTCCCAAGCCAAACCCAGGCTGTTCCAAGGCCATTCTCCTACACCAGCAGGGCAATGTGAAGCTGGAAAATGCCAGTGAAACCTGGTGATGTGGTTATTGTCACCTCCTCCAGTTCCTCCCAGCAGGGATCTGGATGCTGGGAAAAGCCAGGTGCCTTTTCTCACAGGAGCAGATAATTCAGCTGGGGCACTTTGCTTCAATTTTACACTTAGTGGATGGAAAAAAAAAAGGGATGTTCCAGAATGTAAAAGTACCTGGCAGTGGAATAAAAAGTGGATTGTATGTTTTTAACAGCACTCTGAGGCCATAGCAGTGATGAGGTAACAGAGGAGGGAATTCATGAAGTCACAGGTCTAGAGAGAATATTTCTTGTTCTAACATTTACCTGCCCATTAAAATAATTTCTTCCCGAGTTGGAAGTTCCTGCAAAAATCCAGGTTCATTTTACCTGCTGTTGTGTTATAAAGCCTCATTTTCAGACAAATCAAATAATCAGATTATTTTTTTTCTCCTCAGTGAATTCCTCCTGGGCTTGGCTGAGAGGGAAGTGATTTTATAGATAAATTTTATGAATACATCCCCCAAATACAAAAGGGGAAGCAAAGAGAGACCAAGATTTTTCTATTCCTTCTTCTCAGGACTTGTATGGTTTTCCTTCCTTCCCCTGGGGGGAAGCACACGTGGCCTTGGCTCTGCCATCATAGTGATGACCTGTGGGTTTTAAATATGTTTTGTACTCATGGAAAATCTTGTTATTTCCATTTTACAGCCAGAGGAAGGCTTGGAGGCAGAGAGGCCCTGCCCCTCTGGGGGCAATGCTCAGGGTGGGGTTAACACAAACCAGAGCAACTCCTTTCCTTCACCAAGTAATTTGCTGCTGCTGTGGGAGCCAAAGCAGAAATGGGTTCAAAAAGACTTTGACAAATTCCTGGAGAACTGGCCATTAAACTTGATGATCCCAATGTAATTTCTAGCCCAGGAGGTGGCTGAACTGACGAGTGATGAAAGCGAGGAAGATTTATTGCAGAAAGGCTCCTGTTTGTTCCATCCTTTCCCTCTACTCCTGCCACAACTTCCATGTTTGTGCTCATTAGATGGGAAGAAAAAATAGCTTTGATGAATTAGGTTCATGCTCTGCTTATTTTGGAGACTAAAGCTGGCTCAGGCTCAGACCCAGCCAGGCTGTGGGCAGGGCTGGGGTGAAACAGCTGCTGCTCCTGGTTATTCACTGCTCCCTGCAGAGATCCCAAGGGATGGGATGGTCCATGGGCTGATGTTGCTCTTTCTACCCCAACACCAGCTTGTTAAGGAGTGGATCATCTGCTGCCATCTCTGTCTGCACTGTGATATCCCACTGGAAGGGGGAGATTTGCTCTGCTGATCCCTCAGTCGGGCACTTCCCAGCCTCTCTCAGGGAAAAAACTGTATTTTATCGGCGGGACAAAAAAGATGGACTTTCACCCCAAAGCCAAACCAACTCACCAGCTCTCTTAATCCTCTTCCTCTCCTTCAGCTGGTAGGGCTTGTGGTCGTGGGACAGGGGGATGGCATTCCCGTCCTTGTCACACAGGACTCCTCGGGAATCCCCCACGTTGGCCACGGTGAGCTCCTTGTCGGACAAGAGCGCGATCAGACACGTCGTACCTGGAGAGCAGAGGGAGTGGGGAGCAGAGCAGACACACAGACACACAGAGATGTGAATTAGTAGCTGGGAAATGTTCTTCCTGCCACAGAACCCCTGAATCACTGAGGTTGGGAAAGCCCTCCAAGAGCAGCGAGTCCAAGCTGGGGACGATCCCGGCTTGTCACCCAGCCCAGAGCTCTGATCCACACTCAGAGAGTGGGAGGAGTGTTTCCCATCTCCATCCTGGAACTGGGCCTTTCCTAATGGCCAAGGAAAGTAATTAAAGCACAAATTAGCCCCAGAGCCCCCTGGCTGCTCTCAAGAACTGAACCTGCAGCTCTGGGATAACCCAGAGCTCCCTCCCCTCGTCCCCTCCACGGCTGAGGTCACTTCTTTATGGTTTTACTGAAAAAAAAAGGAAAAGATTGGACATTTTTAATTACTTTAGCCTCTAAATACACAGCAAATGTAATAAGTCATTGATCACTGTATCCAACAGGTGTTTTTTGGCTCACATGGCAGGAAATCATTGGAAAAATGGGGTGTTTTTTAAGTATGAACATTATAGTTTGTATTTTCCTCATTTAATGGATAGAGTGGGATGGATATTGAACAAAGCAGACCTTATTAAGACCATGACTTTTCTATATTTCCCCTCCAGCTACTAGGAGCTGTATTTATAAAAACTCCAGCTATTACTAATATTCCTTGCACGGGCTTTGGACCAGACAACACCATTTCATCCATGCCCCAGAATCCAAAGATGGAAAGGAAGTTTTTAGACACACAGGTAAAGAGGGGACAAAGATTAAAAGGGAATTTTAGCACTGATGGCACAGTTACAAAAGGCACTCTGGTATCTCTCAACAGTAAATCAAATTAACTTAATGCTGTGTCCTTTTTCTTTTAGGCAGACCAGAGAAGCACAGGGTTGAGTTTTCACCTCTGTTATTAATTTACAAGTGATTATTCATTGATAAAAAGGTTTATCACAGCTCTGGGAGAAGCCTGCCCAATCTTGGGGATGAAACTCCAGCACCAGCACTGGGACAGAACAGGGCTTCAGCCTATGCTCTGTGGCCTGAAAACCAATTTCTTGTGGCTGCTGCTTGTTGCATCTCTGCCCAAAACACAGTTAAAAGTTCTGCTTTGCTGTTCCCATGTCAGTAGCTAAATATCCCATGACTGGTATAAATAAAATAGCCAGTAATAAACAAATTGTGTTCAGATGCCCTGTGTCCCCAGGGTTTATTTTTGACTGCCCTGCACAGCCCTAAACTAGAGCTATTTTTTCACAAGGCAGGCACAGATAAATATATATATTTATTAGTAATTTTTTTGCCATGGATGGACACATTGAAGACCTACATGGATAGTTTCCCATTTGTTGCTAAACTGCACAACTTAATGGTTCACTGCAGACAGGACACAGAGAGGAACCTGCCCACCAGGATCCCCTCAGGAACCCAAAAATGAGCGTCCTGCTCCAGAATTATCTCCTCTGAAGCCTCCAGGAGTTGGCCCTGAGGGCATGAAGGCTGTGCCAAGAGGGGCAATAAGAGAATTAAAGCAACAAACAGCACCTCCCTTGCTTTTATTTATGGAACTTTCCCTGACAAACATCCCAGCAGCCTCGGGCTGCCCTCCTGCATCCTGGCTGGGCAGAGATTCCCAGAATCCACCGGGTTGGAAAAGAAATCAGCAGCTTCAGGGAGAGAAAGAACAGCTGCCTTGGGAGTTTGGGTGGGAAACAAAACCTGGGAGATGTAAAACTGAGTCCTGCTGGAGCCAAAACAGCCCCAGGAGGACCCCAGGGTGCTGCAGGACTGGGAGGCTCCAGGATCCACCACCCAAGGTCAGAGCTTTACCTGCCCAACACTTCCATGTCTAAATTCCTGCATTCTCCTGCATCCCAGCCCACCCTCCTGCTCTGCACCCCCCCAGAGTGTATTTTTCCCTCAGGGAGCACCAACATCATGTTTCCTACCGAGAAAAACTGCGAATAACCCCGTGCAGCCCCCGTGCTCAGGAAGTGAAATGCTTCCCAAATAGAGCCATTATGAGCACAATTTCTACAAAAATGATAACACTGAACACAGTCTTCTTGGTTATATGATCTGTGTGGATGAGGGAGAAGGAGGCTCTGAGGCAGAGGCTGATTTGCAAGGTGATTTAGGAAGGATCAGCTCTCTCCAGCTCCCTGATGGATGGCTGGGATATCCTTCCATCCCCCACCTGCCCCGAGAAAGCAAAACTCATTTTGCTTTGTTTTCCTTCCCATCTATTTTTATTTCAGTCGTTTAACCTTGTGAGGAGCGAGGGAAACACCGAGCCCTTGTCAGCAGCCTGAGATTTAATGCAATTGCCCGACGGAAAATTCCCAGCAGAAAAGGGCCTGGAATTGAGAACACATGTTGGATGAGTCCCTTGGGGGGGCAGCCTCAACAACGCCCTGCCCAGCCCTCTGCAAAGGAAAGCAGCTGAAAAGTTAAACCCTGGACTAGACTGGCTGGGGAGATGTTGGGTTTTTTTTAAGTCAGATAAAATTACTGGTGTATTTT